CTCTTCTTAAGAAAAATGAGTAGGCAACATCACAAAACCAACGAAAGATAATGTCCCCAAACTCTGAAATAAGAAGACAATACTTCAAAAACAAAAATGCTAAAAATATTTCCACTATTAACCATGGTCTTGTTTTTATACATCTCCCCCAAATAAAGAATCATAATTAGGTAATTTCCAACAAATATGCACTACGTTTAAGAAAGTTAACTTAGAACTCCATTTTTAGAACCTAGACCACAATTTCTTTTTGAAACTTTAATAGCAGCTAGCTCAAAATAAAACCTCCATGAATGCAGGTACCTTGTCTGAGTAGTTTACCTATACAGTGTATTGTCAAGGCTTATAATGGTACCAGACGTTACATAAACATTTGCTAATCAATTAACCAAAGGAATATTGAAGAACAATGTATAATTCTATTAATAGAGATCAAGACTAAATATCTTAAGAACACATTTGCAAGGCTAGAATTTTTAAGTTTCTTTTTCAAAGAAAAGAAGATTATGTGCAAGGTATGTGAATAACCATAAACGAAGTAAGCATGCATATCTGTTCAAAAAAGTAATCTCACTGAAAAGTTCATCCCAACATACATACACACTATTACAGGATGACCTGTGTGCTGCATGCCGCCCCCACCAGTTATATTTTAAAACCCTGACCTTTAGTACCTCAGAATGTGACTATTTGGAGACAGGGACATCAAAGAGGTGATTAAGTTAACATGAGGCTATTAGGTGACTGGTGTCCTTCTAAGAACAGGCAATTAGGACATACAGAGTGACACACCAGGCACATGCAAGCACAGAGGAAAGACCATGTCAGGACACAACAGAAGGTGGCCATCCACAAGCCAAGGACAGAGGCCTCAGGAGAAACCAAATCTGCCAACACCTTGATGTTGAACCTGTAGCCTCCAGAACTATGAGAAAATAAATTTCTGTTGGTTAAGCCACAGTTAGTGGTATTTTGTTATGGTGGCTCTAGCGAACCAACACATATAAATACATATAAAAGTTAGAGCGAGACTTCTGATTATTTAAAATTAAAACATTTAAATTCAAAAATGCATAGAAACTGACAAAAGTGACAACGGATAATATTTACTTAATACCTACAATGTGCCAGATCCCAGTAAGTACCACACATGCATAGCCTAATTTAATCCTCACAAAAAATCTTGTTAGGTTCTATTATTAGTGCTATTCCAAGATAAGGAAATTAAAGCTTTGATGACAGGAAATCTATATACTGTAGAATGGAAACAAAAGTAGGGCACCTGGGTGACTCAGTTGGTTGGGCGACTGCCTTTGGCTCAGGTCATGGTCCTGGAGTCCCGGGATCGAGTCCCGCGTCGGGCTCCCTGCTCGGCAGGGAGTCTGCTTCTCCCTCTGACCCTCCCCCCTCTCATGTGCTCTCTCTCTCTCTCTCATTCTCTCTGTCTCAAATAAATAAATAAAATCTTTAAAAAAAAAAAAAAAGTAGTTGACTGACTATTCTGCCAAAGTACTGCTCTTAATCAATATACTATACTGAATAATATTATTGTCCATAAAAATGAGATGAGAAAAACAATCCAAAAAGAGTAGAATCCAAAGACAATAGTGATAACAGATAAAAATCATCCATGTCCCAGACTTTTCATGATATAAAAACATAAATGTACATCACCTCTATAGGTAGGAAAAAAAAGACAATAAACTAAACCAATTTTGCCCTCCTCAAATTATAATACTTTTCAATCTATCAGAAAATGCCTTCTTCAGGTGAGGAAACCTATGCCCAAATAAACTAAATGACTTGGCACTTTCCTGACTCATGACATTTTCACATGCTATTCCCTCTGTTTTTTGACTCCCGCCCCACTCCCTCTTTTTCATGTGACTACCTCCTTTACATCATATCTCCATTGTCATTTTCTCATAGTGAAGCCTTTCCTAACACCCACACCTGAATTAAGCACAACCCTCCATTTTTCTCTCTCATAACATCAGATCTTTTCCTTCAAGTATTTATCATAATTTGAAAATACTTTACTTGTTTAAAGTAAAATTCTTTTCTCCTCCACAAAACTACCACTTCCACAAAGATTGAAGCTATGCTATTGTATCTTTAAGAGGCTAGCACAGCTCCTGAAATGTAACAGATACTGATTATTCATTGATGGATGGATGAATGAACCATTTTCTGTGTGACAATGAACTGCTAACATTTACTAAGCACTTACTATATTCCAAGAACTGTTCCAAATTTAATTACATTTAATTCTCCCACTAACCCTATGGGGTAAAAGTGTCATTGTTATCTTCATTTAACAGATAAGAAACTGAGGCACAGAGTGATTAAGTAACTTGTCTGCACTGACAGCTAGTCAGAGTTAGAATTCAACTTTAAGTAGTCTGATTCTAGCTCTTAAATACTATCGTATGGCTGCTGTGACACAACAAAGTTACCTGTACAAGAATTTTCTTTTAGAAACTGGTTGGGCTCTTTGTGGTATTTTTAACTTGGCTAAAAAAGTATTTCACAAGGAAAGAAATTTGCACCTACTATTGTAAAACTTTCTTCAGATGACTAGAAAAACAAAATCATAAAGATGTGCCAAATGTGGAACACTGCCTACAGATCTATCAAACCAATTTATCTACAATATACAAAGCAACTTTAAAAGACTATAGAAGAAGCACTTGGACTTTTCCTTTTCAATCTCATCCTTCTTTTAAAAAAGTCCACGCCAAAGGTAACAGAACCAAGAGCTAAAGCCAAAACAAACATGCTCCAAGTTCTTGGGTCAGGTCATCAGATTAATGGAATGTTAAAATATTTTTCATTTTTAAAAACATGTGACTTTGTTTCTGCACGTTTTGTGGACAAAATAAAATTTGGAATGCAAAATTAACAACAAAAGTAAAAACCTTTTCTTTTCCTTTCTTGAATGTACTGAAATTGAATGATCAAATTCACCTAACGCAGAACAATGACTACATTGCCATAAAAACATGACAAGTCAGGATCTGTCATATTTCCTTCAAAAAACAGAACGCCAAATTCTAGTCTCTCCTCTTTATCTACACTAAATCCTGAGTATGAAGAAACAATGTATTTATTTTACATACTTGTATAATTAATCTATGTATCAAATAGGCAATAGTAACAGTGGCTAACACTTAAGGAACACTATAACTAGGCTTATTTATTTTTAATTCACATAATCCCCTACAAGAACCCCATTACATAGGTATTATCATCTGTATTCTATAGTTCGGAACTCCGGGAGATTGCGAAGCTTGTCTATACTCACCATGATCTTTGAGTTAGACCATGGCAGAAGTAGGATTCAACTACTTTATATTTTCCCTATCTTACAGGACCTTCCATAACTCAACTGTCACAAAATCTAATCTCTGACCCTCGTCCCACGGGCATTCTACTAGCCAAAGCTTCACCACTTTCACTGACTCAAAACAAAACAAAAATCGCATTACTTTGAAAGGCAGCCCACTCCTCAAATCTACTCCATGTTAACTTCTCAATTCCTTCCACCACACTTCAGAGGGCATTGTTTCAAGTCCCTGAGCATTTCATCCCTCGAGTACTTTCTATAAATGTGCCCTTTAAAACAGGGCAACAGAGCATCTAGAATGAATAAGTGATGCAGTATGGCCCAATCATCTCAAAATAGAGAAAGACTACATCAAAGCAATCCAAACTTTCTTTACTGTTTTGGGCAGCCACATCACTAGTGATTCTTGCTTGGTTTACATTCAAGGAAATTTGTTCTTTAATTCATAATTACTGTTAAAGAATCTACTTCTTGAGTTCTTCACATCTAAGTACAGGTCTTTACTCTGGTTAAATTTCACTTCTTCTGTCTGGCCAATGACCTTCCCAACTGATTATTTCTGGATTTTGGCTTATCATTTGAAAACATCCTCATACCTCAGTTTTAACTCATTTGTAAAATTATTCAACATGTCACCACTGCCTCCACACAATAAATGCCTCATTAATAAAACCATGAATAGGAGGAGAACAAACCTGTCCCTGGGGATCTCTGTCCCAGGTACCACTTATGCCTTCATCAGCCTCCTTAGAATACATCTATTAGTTACAATTAGCAATAATTGCGCCTCGGATAAACTTCATTGGCTACGCAAAGCTGCAGACTGATATCCTTATTCACTGACATTTTTCCATATCCTCTTCAAGTATATCAGACTTTCTGAAATATCTAATAGATGTGTATCACACCTATTACACCACCCTGATCTACAAGTTCAATAGACCTATCAAAGAAAGAAGAAATGAAAGAGATGACAGACAAAAGTTAGTCTGTCATGACTTGTTCCCAAAGAAGCGATGCTGATACACAGTGAGCAGTGCTTTTCTCAAGCTCCATCAAAAAAAGGAGAACACTGTTGAGTGAAAAACACTGTTGAGTGACCCCATAATTTGACCAAAGACAATAATCTGTAAGCACAAAACAGTGGAGTTTCATACTCAAGTGATGAAAACAGGAATATTATTACAGTTCCTAATTAATATAGAAATATTTATTACAAACATTTATAATATTTCCAGTTGGTACCACTTTTGTCTGCAAAAATAAATTTCATATTAAAATGTCTTTGTTGGGTATATATCTAAATAAATCTCAGTTAAACAAAAACATTAATCTTAACACATTAAATAAAAACACAATAGTTCTTAGAATATTAGCTGCTAGACAGGTCATGTGTGAAATAAAGTTGGCCTAATATATTCCAAATCTCAGTGTTTCAGAGCTGGAAGAGATCTGGTGTTTATCGTTTACAAGTACCTCCTTTTATAGATGAAGACACTCAGGTTCTCTGAGATGGAATGACTTTACCAAGCTCACAAAACTAACTCTGGCATGGCTGGGCATAAAAATAAGATCTACTCAGAGGCTACTGATAATATTTCACAAAACCCTGTCTTCAAAAATAAAATAACAGAATAAAACAACACTTTCTTACCAGCTGCACTTCACCAAAAGCACCTCTTCCAATAACTTTAACAACATCATAGTCTTCTGCCTTCATCTGTAGACCTCTGATTTTTTTCACAATTTTCTCATCTGCAATAAAAAGGTCATACTTATAAGCAATACTTTTAAATAATCACTATATTTGTAAATAGATTTTTATTTCAAGAAACTGGATTTAGTTTTTAGCTAAATCTGTCAGTTTTCAAAGGTTACTATTTAAAAATCCAAGACACATACTAACTTTACATCAAAAAACCAAAACTCTATGGTTTATTAACACATAAGACAAACAATACTGACTACCAAAAAGGAGCAGTTAAGCTATTCCATTTCTGACTCTGTTGCTTGACAAGATGACAGCTAAAACAGTGATGACCCACGCAGGCCTAGAGTGTATTCTGAATCATGACAGAGAGCTGCTATGACATTACTTGCAAGGCTAATCTTAGTAATAAATTTTAGTAGCCTACTTTGAAAAGTAGTAATCACATATTATAGGTATGGTAACTATAGACAAAATTGTTTAATTATGAAAATAGCCTAGTCTCTGACAATTCCAACTTAAAAAGCTGTGTTGATATAAACTATATATTGAATTATTTTGAGAATTTATCCTTAGACTTCAACCTCATTTACACCTTCACTGCAACATCAATACTGGCAAATATTAAGTTGCTGCATATATGACAATAGTTGTTATCACATTATCTTTCATTAGCTAGATTGAAATGTCTACATTTATATAAACATAAAGCTCATTAAGTCTCCTGGGTAATGTAAACCTAACTCTTAATATTGTTAATATTAATTTAAAAGTACTCTTTGAGCTGCCATAAATAACCTATCCTGAAATCATTAGTCTTAATATTTATACAAAATCTTGAACTCTACCTACTTTACAAACTGCAACTAGTTCTGCGGTTTTGCTTTGAAAATAAAGAATGCTAGTATTCAAATAGCAAGCTAAAAAATACTTAAGGTTAATAATGTATAGACTGTAATATAAACCTCATCAAAAGTATAGTGATAGGATCAAATATAAAGTTTACTCACATCTATTTAAAAAATTATCTATATTCTTGTTTTTTCTCAAAGCAGGAAAATCCAAATCAAGGACCAAGGAATTTAAGCCATCCTGTTTAACAAAAAATAAAAAAGGAAGAAGAAGGTTGTTACAATTTCCAAGTATTCAAAAAGTCTTTAAATTTTATTATATGTTGTTCTTGCTAAATATCAATCCACTTTGATATGATATTGCCCAGTGGCTCCATATCTAACAGCCCTAACTTGTTTGCTAACTTCTGCCAGAAAATATTATGAAAGATCCTATCATGTTTTCCTTTGTTATTTTAGCCATTAGAAAAATGTCATTTATGTATGTAGGTCTTTATTTATTTATTTGGAGAGGTGGGGAGGGGCAGAGGAAGAGCAACAGAGAATCTTAAGCAGGCTTCATACCCAACGCAGAGCCCGAGGACGGGCTCAATCTCACAACCTGAGATCATGACCTGAGCCAAAATCAAGAGCTGAATGCTTAACCAACTGAGCCACTGACACGCCCCTAGAAAAATGTCATTTTAAAATATGCATCCCCTGGGGTGTCTGGCTGGCTCAGCCGGTAGAATATGTGACTCAATCTCAGGATTATGGGTTTGAGCCCCACATTGGGTATAGAAATTACTTAAAAATAAAATCTTAGAAAGAAAATATGCATCCACTATTATTTTTGCTAGTCAGATGTCTTCCTTTCTCTCTTCAAATGTCCAGTAAAATTTCACCAAGCTTTTGACTTTAACAAACACAGACTATAAAGAAATTAAGAAAATAATCCCATTTACACTTGCATCAAAAAGAATGAAATACCTAGGAATAAATTTAACCAAGGTGAAAAACCTGCACACTGGAAACTGTAAGACACTCATGAAAGAAACTGAAGAAACAAATAAATGGAAAGATATTCACTACTTATGGATTAGAAGAGTTAATATTATTAAAATGTCCATACCACCCAAGCAATCTGCAGATTCAAAGCAATACCCATCAAAATTCCAATGACATACTTCATAATACTGTAACAAATAACTGTAAAATTCGTACGGAACCACAAAAGTTACCAAAGAGCCAAAGCAATCTTGAGAAAGAAGAACAAAGCTGGAGACATCATGCTCCCAGATTTCAAACTATACTACAAAGCTACAGTAATCAAAACAGTATGGTATTCCTACAAAAACAGACACACAGAGCAACAGAACAGATTGAAAGCCCAGAAATAAACTAACACATATATGGACAATTAATCTCTGACAAAGGAGGAAGAACATATAATGGAGAAAGGACAGTCTCTTCAATAAGTGGTGTTGGGAAAACTAGGTAGCTACCTGCAAAGTAACGAAACTAGACCACTACCTTACACCATACACAAAAATTACCTCAAAATAGATTAAAGACTTGAATATAAGACGTGAAACCATAAAATTCCTAGAAGAAAACACAGGTGGTAAGCTTCTTCACATAGGTCTTAGTGACATCTTCATGTATCTGACTCCAAAGGCAAGGAATGAAAAACAAAAATAAACAAATGGGATTATTTCAAACCAAAAAGCTTCTACACAGCAAAGAAAACCTACTGAATGGGAGATCAGCAAACCACATATCTAATAAGGGGTTATTATCCAAAATATATAAAGAAATCATACATCTCAACAACAAAAAACCAAAAACTTGATTTAAAAAATGGGCAGAGGATCTGAAGAAACATTTCTCCAAAGAAGACATACACACGGCAAACAGGTACAATGAAAAGATGCTGAATGTCACTAATAACTAGGGAAATGCAAATCAAAACCATAATGAGACATCACCTAATACTTATTAGAATAGCTATTATCAAAGACAAGAAATAACATGTCGGAGAGGATGTGGAGAAAAAGGAACCCTCTCACACACTATTGATGGGATTGTAAATTGGTGCAGCCACAACAGAAAACAATATGGAGATTCCTCAAAAAATAAAGAATAGAAGTACAATGTGAGACAGATATTCCACTTCTGGGTATTGATCTGAAGAATATGAAAACACCTATTTGAAAAGATATATGCACCCCTAAGCTAACTGCATCATTATTTGCAACAGCCAAGATATGGAAACAACCTAAGTGTCCATCAACAGATGCATGGATAAAGAAGATAGTGTATATACAATGGAATACTACTCAGCCATAAAAATGAATGAAATTTTACCATTTGCAATGACATGGATGGACTTTGAGGATATTATGATAAGTGAAATAAGTCAAAGACAAATAACCTATGATTCCACTTATGTATGGAATCTAAAAACAAATCAAAAACTAACTCACAGATACAGACAGCAGACTAGTGGTTACCAGAAGAGAAGGGGTTCAGGAGGTGAGCACAATTGGTAAAGGGGGCCAACTCTATGGTGATGGATGGTAACTAGACTTGTGGTGGTAATCACTTTAGAGTGTATTCAGATGTCAAATTATAAAGCTGTACATCTAAAATTTACATCATTAAAAAAAAAAAAGAAAGAAATACACCCAGACTAAGAAAGTTCCCATTCACTCAATAAGCATTATTTTTTTTGCCTAATGCATACAAAGAACAGAAAAATCCAACAATAAATATGACACCAACTATCCTTCCCCTCAGGGAACTCAGCCTCAAAACTAAATTTCCCCTAAAAACATAAAAATAAGATGATGCATTGTTCAGATTTCTATTTTTTAAGTTTTCTATATTTTTCATACTTTCCACAACAAGCATACATTAAATTTATAATCAAAATAAGAAAAAGTACCTACATATAACTTGTTGGGGGTGAAAAAAATAGTAAGAAACAAAGTCTACTCAATGGATATGCTTGTGAAGGTAACAGTATTTCTAAAAGACTACGGCATATACGGTTTCATCTCCAAGTAACTCTGAAGAGGGCATGAAAAAATATTCTTCATTTTAAAAATAAACTAAGGCTTAGAGAGATTAAGTGACTTTGACTTGTCCAAGGTCATGCTACTAGGAAATGACATAGTAAATACTACCTAAAACTTAAAGGTCCAATATACTTAACTCACCACCCTAGTCTCAACGACCAGACTAACACTGACCAGAGCCTGGAAGAGTAAATAAGAAGCTGAAAGAGCTGAAGGATTGCAAAAAATAAAACAGCAATAAAGACGCCTTTTAGGGATCTGAGTAAGGGGAAAATCAAAGCAATTTGAGTTTTTTAATTTATGAATTACAAAGAAATTATACATACTATGTTTACCATTCAGTTATACTTCATATTTTTATTTTTCATTCTTTAAAAATTTTGTCCACATTTTCTGAAAATATTCTTTATTCATAGAAAGGGCAGGGGCGCCTGGGTGGCTCATTGGTTAAGCATTTGTCTTCAGTTTGGGTCATGATCGCAGGGTCCTGGGATGGAGCCCCGCATGGAATTCTCTGCTCAGTGGGGAACCTGCTTCTCCCTCTTCCTCTGCTGCTCCCCCTGCTTGTGCTCTCTCTCTCTTTCGTTCTCTAGCTCAAATAAATAAAATCTTTTAAAAAAACCAGAAAGGGCAGAGGTGTTAAGAGTAAACTACATATATGTTTTATCACAATTAAAATTCTTTATAGCCCACTATATATAAAACAGACATATAAAACAGTCTTTTTTTAAAAAAAAGATTTTATTTATTTGACAGAGAGAGACACAGCGAGAGAGGGAACACAAGCAGGGGAGTGGGAGAGAGAGAAGCAGGTTTCCCACCGAGCAGAGAGCCCGATGTGGGGCTCGATCCCAGGACCCTGGGACCATGACCTGAGCCGAAGGTAGACGCTTAACGACTAAGGTACCCAGGCGGCCCCCCATATAAAACAATCTTGATTCTCTCAAACTGAAAGAAAAAAAAAAACAACACTAAAAAAATAATAAATATCCAACTTCCAGTGAAGTTGAGATTGTTAAATTCACACTTTGAGATCCCACACATACCCACAATTCCCCTCTCCAGGACAGTTGAACTGCTTTTTAAGGATTCCAGCATTTTAGCATAGTAGGCTATTTTTAAGTACCAAATTATTGCTATATCTTTTTGGTATAATTTTGCTATTTGGTAAGTTTAAAATGTAAAATCTGAATCACTTATATTTTTAGATATATCCATAATCATTGACTTTAAATCAAAGAAAGGTACATTTATTTGGAAAGCCTTCTTCTGTACCTCCATTAACCTCCACAAGAAGAAAAAATTTTAACTGACAAGGCAAAAGCTTCTATTACAAGAATAAATATCTTCCTCTAGTTCAGAGACTTTTCAAACAAACAGCATATGAACACTTCATACAGATATGATAAAAGTAATTACATTAAAATTTCCATCTACATATTATGAAGAAAAAATCCTTTGGAAAAAAAGAACTAGAGCTTCACATTAGTAAAATGACTGAATCCTTGCTTACCCCACATCCTCCCCACAAGTTATCACAAGATGGGATTATGTAAAGATTACATAGTCAAGAAGAAAATCTCAAAATAGTTTATAAATTTTTCCCATAATATCCCCCACCAGTGTAGAGTCAGAGAGCTTTTTCAGCACTTCTAGAGCAAATATTCAACTCATCAATAATACCATTTTGTTTTTTTAAGCCATTTTTTTAAAGATCAAATACTACCTCATTTGTGTGTTTAGTTTTATTTTTATACAGTATTTTTTAACACTTTGATCTGCTAATAATTTATATTTGAAGAAAATGTAGGGGGTAATATATACTTACAAATTTACATATATACGTGAGGTTTTATATTTATAAATTTTCACATTTGAAATGTATTCTATTTAGCATCACTTATTAAGAAACAAATTATGAATTTTTTTAAGATACCAGTATTTTCAGTACATGAAATTAATACTGAGATCCAGTGGCTGGGTTAGCTCAGGACTAAACTGAAAGCCTATGTCTATGACCTTCTTTGTTATGTAGTTTCATATAAACCTTAGGTAGTGAGATTTTTTTTTTCAGTGTCTGTGATTTCAACTCTGATTCTCTTCTTAGAAAGTGATACTAAGCTAAGATAAAGAAATTTTAAAAAGAATTCCAAACTACCAAAACTACAAAAACTTTAAAGCA